AGCCCCCGGGCGCCGATGTTGACCACATGGCAGCCGATGGCCGAGGCCGAATTCAGCGCCAGGTTCAGGTTCTCCTGGGGGGGACACGGACGCGTGAGCGGCACCCGGGACGCTCATCCGTTGGCCCCGTCTCGCTGCCCGTGTTTTAACGGTGCTGCCGGCGCGGACACGAGCCGTGAGAGGCTGCTGGGTTTAATTTCAGCCTCCGGTGTTTGGTTTCAGCTGGAGGGGTGTTAAGTTATACGCACGCCCACGTGCGGGCGGCTCTGCAAAAGCAGCCCATAGTACTGGGAAGCCATTCATAGGGAGCCCGATGCAATAACTTGGGAAAAGACCATGTTGCAGGTGATATTGCAGCAACATCAGCTGTGCTCAGGCTCTCTGCTGTTTTATGCATGTCCCCAATACTAAACACTCACTCCTGTCCTTCAAGCTGTACCCATAGCATCAGGATTGCCAACCAGGTGCACTGCAAAACTGCCTTTTTCTTGCAGTTGGTGACCAAAAACTCACTCCTTCCCAGAGCCCAGTGGCAATTCCGTAAGTCACCGTGCTGATTCTTCTGCTATCCTGTCTTAACGTGAATTGCAGTAAAGGCACAAAAGGGCATCATACCTGAATTATGAACGGCGTGAGCTTCTTCTTGTTAATTGCTCTTTCATCGATCGTGTCCGGAACAGAAAGATTGATCATTTTGCTGGCAGGAGGAAAACCAACAATATTTAAACAGCCTTGAGTATTTCATTTCAACAAAAGCCATTCCGCTGCCACAACCTTCATTACTGCCTATTTTCTTCGGTCCATTCATTTTCCGTGGGGGCTTTTAAATCAAGGTTGTGTAAATCGGAAGTTAATATTTACGTTATCGAGAATGTATATGTAATTAATAGCTAAGCCTGAAACCTTAAACATGTCACTGGCCACCAGTGATCTCGGCGGCCGGAGCAAGAGCAGCATGTGAATTATTCACAAAGCAGGGGATGAACCAGCAAAGCCACCGCTCTGCAGGGACAACGTGTCCCCTCCTGAGGAAAAGGTGTCCCCAGGCCAGTGGGAAAATTATTTTAAAATTCTTCACTAAAGAAAAAATAAAGCGTAAACACTAAAGGCTTGGAGGGAAGCACGTGGATATTAGGACATTATTTTTTAGCCAGTGGAAATCATTGCAAGTTTTTCCTTTATTCTGTGAAGCGCTTCCTATTTGGTTTAGTTGTCATCTGAGCAATCAAATTACTTGAAGTTGTGCGAATTACAAAAGAAAAAAAATCCACAGGTTAAACAAAAGTGACTATTTTGCCCACTAGCACTCCGTGCCTACTGATAGGGCAATACAGAAATCCCGAGGAGATCCAGTTTGCCCCAATATTCATTCAGTGGCACCAAAAGAAAACAAAACCTCCCTCAAGCAGAAAACTGGCTGTGAAGCAGCCCTGGCTTCGTCCCAGCTTTGAGCACGCAGCAAAACAGATGACATCATTAGTGACAGCAGCTACCAGCAGAGCAAGGAGAGGATTCCCACACACCCCGTCTCTGGTTAACTTGTGTAGTCGCTAATATTTCCACATAGATTACTGCAATAACTGCTTGCAGCCCCAACAGAGGGAAGATTTTAAACAGTTTCCTTCTCCCCTTCAGCAAACTGTCTCAAACACGAACAAAAGCCTTGGACAAAGTACCCGCTAGGGAAGGTGGCATCAAAGCAGAAGCATCACAAAAGACAGCAAAAGCCCCTGCAATTAAGCCCCTCTTTATGTATGCAAAAACGTTCCACACACACAAAGAAAATACCCTCAACTGAGGAGTTTTAGGGTTGGGTTTTTTTTGAATTCAGGAGCTATTGGGACTTACCACAGCACAATCCCATCTCCCACGGCTTTGAACAGGTCATCTGTGTTGGGGTTCATTGGAATAACATGTCTGCAGTCGGGATCGCTTTCCAGGGCTTTGTTTATCCAATTTACAAAGGCGTATTTTTCTTCCTCTAGGATAACCAAGTGCAAATTTAATACATGCTTCCTCAGAACACAGCAAATTCCCCAAGGCACATCCGAGCACCAGAGGAATACCTGAATACGAGTGCTGCGTCCCTTCGCTGGAGAGCTCCGACGTGCCACCAATGGCACAGATGCCTTCCTTGCGGTTAATTGCTTTTCTGAAAGTTTTAGCAATATCACTGCTCTTCACCTCTTGGAAAATCTAGAAATCAAAGTGCTTTGTCAGAAAAAAAATAGGAGGAATGCAAAACGATGAGGCTTGCTATCTCTCCTCAGCTTCAAAGCAAACTTTGCAAGAAGATCAGCAAAGGTGAGTAGCCTGGCAAAGTTATAGTGGTGTTAAGTTTAACAGAGGTGAGGTGTAAAGAGCTGTCCCACTCTCTCTAACAAGCCAAATATTGCAAATATTGCTCCTGAAACAAAAGCATTTGGTACAAAGTCACTTGCACACCGTTATCCTTCCAGTACCACCCCAAAAAATGTGCAGTACAAGAGCAGGTCACATGCAGCAGCTTCCAGAGCTGTTGTGCATCTTCAACGTTTCTGTGAAAGCCTGGTGCTCATGTGAATGTGACTTTAGTTCACACAGAAGACTGGCCAGGACCACAGGAGACAAAAAATGATTCTCCTTAAGCAGGTAATGACTTAATCTCCTAATCTGTAGCAGCAAATGCTTCAGGTAAGGCTGTTCTCAACAGCAAATGTCCTGCTGTCCTCATGCCTGGGGGCAGAAGAGATTCTTTAACGCAGAAAGGTTCAATTATTTTAACCTTTGCTGGACTACAACTATGTAAACTAAGGTACTTCTAACTCACATCATCCTTCATACCATGAAGCCCACCAAAAATACTCAGTTAGAAAACAACAGCAATTCTTTCTGCAAAATCTTACCACTTTCTACTGGGTAATCTGGCTGTCTGTAGGCTATTTCAAGTTTAATTGACCATCCCTACCACAGAACATGATGGAAGGGGTTTTTACTTTCTCTCCAGTGCAAGTGAGACGTACGGACCAGTTCAAACCACCAGCTGAAACATGCACCCAGCATGCAAGTGTTCACAAACTGCAAACAAACTCCAACTTACTAGCTGGCTCCGAACTCAAAAGTTCAGAGGGTCTGAAAACAACTAAGGAACAGGAAAAGGTGAAGAGAAATTAAGAAATATCAAGAAAAGTAGTTGACATGAAAATAGTTCCCTTAATGCATTCCATTTTAGTTTATGCTATTACTCTTCTAACATTCATTCAGAGTGTAAAAAAGGAGGGAGTTCCTCAGAAATGTTATGCTTTTATTAAAGAAAGGAAACAAACAGAAAAACTTTCTGACTTATTTCTAAAAGAAAACATCAGAGGGTAGATCCAGCTTTCAGCACTTTCTTCCACTTCCTTATTAACAGTTCTTCCTTTTATAGGCAACAAATGGACTTGAGTTTTCCTAAATAATTATCTAGGAGTAACTTCCAAAGGTACCTTGAAATGACCTCTCGGGTCTCTAACGAATACTAGTAGTCCAATGGAATTGAGAAAGGAAGTTATACTCATATTGCTTTCATTGGGAAAGCAAGCATTTGAGTGCCTGGAAAAACTGAGCAGCTTGCAGTCAATAGCGTAAGACAGGAGATCTGAAAGTCTTTCTTTTTTCCAGTTGTTCCCTAACATGGAAATGGACTTTCAGCCTCCGATGGATTTTTCACATAGGAGAAAAAAATCTAGGGGCAGGGAGGGGAAGAGGAGAGAAAAGAAAAATCACATACAGGGGTCTGTCAAAGAGCTGATTTTTAGATCTCAAATCTTTAAAAGCAATCAGTTTGTAGAAAGATGATCAGGATGAGGGCAAGTGGCCAAGGACCAAGGTTCGGCCCCTTTTCTAAGGGCTGCTTAAAACGATTCCCCCAGGGCCATCTACCTGACAACCAGCAGCTACAGCACAACCAGACCGCTGCAAATTCAGCAATACCACTTACATAGACAAACTCTTCAAAGCTAATCTTCCCATCTTTATTCTTGTCACCATCGATCATGAGCTTCTGGATGATCTCCCTCACTTTGTACCCGGGGAGAGGCAGGTTGGCTTCCTTGAAGAGCTCGTGCAACTCGTAGTCGCAGATGAAGCCATTGCTGTTGAGGTCTGAGGAGGAAAAGGAAGAGGAGAAGAGTCGTTAGCAATGGTCCCATCACCCAGAAGAACAAACCCTAGACAGCGAGGTGGAAACACAGTTCCTGATGCTCCAATGGGCTTTATGGAGCAACGCATGCCGCCCAACTCGGAGCCACATCATATGGATCGTTGCTGCTCTCTGCAAACAAGATCCAGGAGAAGAGGAACGCGGCATGCCGCCCAACTCGGAGCCACATCACATGGAAGAGGAACGCACTCAAAGTGGGACATCCACACTGCAGACAACTGCACTACCCAAAGGATATAACACAGAATAAGCCAAGAATCAAATGCCAAGCGCACAAACTAAATATACAGCATGCTTCCCTGGGGAAGGATCAGCAAAAGCCAAGAAATCCCCCTGGTTTGCTGCAACGGGAGCTTTGAACTAGAGTTGGGGATGGCCCTCAGTGCATCTGAGCAAGCCTAGTGCAGGGAAAAAAAGCATCTGCATTTCCACAAGCTATTTTCATTATTTTGTAACTTTTTCTGCATTTATACACTTTTATACATGCATTACTTTACACATCTAACTACACCACAGCTGTGGTGCGTGTTAAAAATAGGAGGTAACGAAACAGCGCTTTTTGCATTCTGAACAAAAGCAGAAAGCACTAACTCAGCTCTGCATTTACATTTTTTAAATCATGTTGATCATGATGTTAGTCACCACTGACAGATATTTTAATGCTGCTCCAAAACGCTCTGCAATGGCATTTGCTTAGACATGGAGACCCAGCAGCCCTGCCTGCTTAGCAGGACATTATCACCCCCAGGCACGACTGCTCCAGAACAGGGACAGCCCAGGGACAGCCCAGGGACGTAGCTCAGTGCCTGGGCAGCCCCCTGCCCACCCCAGGCCAGGGGAGATGCCCAGCTGGAATTACAGCTCTTGATGGGAATCAAACTTGATGGCAAACACCATCCACCTCCCCTGCTTGTCACTTGACCACAGGCCGGGCAAAGGCGAAGCATGCGTCTCCCCAAGCCACCCAGCAGCAATTTTTCTCTAAAGCTGTAAAAAATGACTTTTGCTCCTGCATCATCTCCCACTGCCCAGCATCGCTGCCCACGGAGCACCGCTAGAACAGGAGCTGCAAGGACGGAGCAGACGCCAGTTCGCTCGCGAGTCTGGAAAGTCGACTTCCTATTAACGAGGTGTCGGCAGCGGGTTTTAGGTTTTATTTCACGATGCTCCAGCAAACAGCTTGTTCTCGCCACCGCTCCAAGCCGCTTTATGTTCCAGCCCCGTATGGGATTTTAAAGCTGCTTTCGTAAGTTAGTGAGAAAGTGAAATGAAAACGGTTAGTGGCCAGTGTCCAAGGAAACACAGGATCAACCGGGGCTCCCGCCGGCACCCTCATCTTGGGGCTCGTACTAGGAGGATTATTAACCATGTTAAAATTCTTTATGAAATGTCAATGTTTACAGTAATGCTGATGAAAAAATGGCCGGGGCCAGCGGTTAATGATAGCAACAGGCTGCTGTCTGGCCCTCAGTTTGAGGCTTTTAGCTCAAAAAATATAAGCTTACAAAGCAAGCTTTATTAAACAGTCCAGTCTGAGATGTCATCAGCAAACTATTTCCCCTGTAGATAAATCATCGCTTCTTCCGTTACAGTTTTCTTAGAAAAAAATCTAGCTCCATAATATGCAGCTTTTCCCTGCCTCAAAGCCAAAGGGAGAAGAAGGAAAGGGGGGCAGCACTTAATAATAATAAAAAAGTCAAGATAAAGAAGGTATTTGCCTCTCTACAAGGCCCATGGACTTGAAGTACAGCTTCATTTTCCCTTTCGGTATGCCCAGGGCCACCACCCAGCACGTTAGGCTCTGCTCAGCTGACCCGACCACAATCTTTTGCCATGCTGCCAAATCCAGGGGGTAAATCCAGGCACGCCTGTTCACCACTGGATCCAGTCTACCCACCACTTAAAAAAAAAGAAATTAAGCTCAGCATCTACCCAGACATTTAGCAGGGATTCCTGCAAAGGAGGCAGAAGGACATGCTAAGACTTCAAAATATATATCACAGCTTAGCAGAGCTCATCTCTGCCTGCATGCAATGTCAGATCAGGAGTTTGCTACAGTCTGGGTGAATATCTGCCTGTTATGAAGATTCATCCAACCCTACAGCATCTTCCCAGTCTTCAGGCTGGACCTCATTCAGAAAAGCTTTCCCGTTGTTTATGGAGGAAAAATGATTTAGCAACTGTCCAGCATGAAGAGCCTTGGCTTGATCCTGGCTGCCCATAGCACCTCCCGGGGGCTCAGACAGCCCATAATCAAGTTTGAGGGACAAAAATGGTTGCGAATGCACTTTAACCCACTTACTGTTACCACTGCACCTTAAACTCATTCAATCTCAGGAATCAAAGTTGAAACGACTTTCAGCAAAGCTTTATGCCGATAGCAAGATAGGAAGCAGCATTGTGAGGCTGCATGCGATAAGAAACAAAAGCACTGCTGGAGCAAATTACTTACATATCTTACCCTAGCTCTGCTTCTGTTACACCATTGCCAAATCTCAACTGCTGCCTAAACTCCCAGCTGCAAGATTTGCTCTTTTGCAGCATCCTGAGAAGACCCTACCATTGATTGACTGCAGCGTAGGAGGGTAGCCCCGAGACAGGCACTTTGGGAGCAGGATCCCAGACAGATCCGCTGGGATCCATGGGATAGCCCCGGAGAGGTGATGGATAGACCTAACCCCCATCCCAAAGGGCAGCTGCTTTCCTGGGGGCTGTCTCTGTTTCCTCCAGAATAGCAGTAAAATATCCAAGGTAGCAGCACGGAGAGTGGAAAAAAAAATGTCACCTTTCCAACACCAACAAATTTCATAATTGATTTCAGCCACCCTGTAGGTCTCCATATGGGAACCTTAATGGGGTCTCCTGCATCAAGACCAGGTTTTAGCCAGGAGATGGTCTAAATTCTCCATCACTAGCTAACCCCAAAGCGGTATTCAACAGTTGAGGAGGCTGTCAAAACAGAGGCTATCCCAAAAGAAATCCTTAGACCCGAGGCCCAGAATTACTAATGGAATAGGGCAAAATTGTTTTAACAGACAAGCTGCAGCCTGGACTCAGTACAAGCTGCCCAATGGAAAGGAAACTACAGCACAGCTAAAGTTTCCTATTTCTCCTGAAAAATGCATGCACGCCAGGACTCTAAACCTGCAGAAAGGTCACTGCAGTGATATATGGCACCATCTCCTGCCCATATGCAGGTGGCGCAGCAAAGCCACAATCAACACAACCCGAAAGCTGCCTCAGCTCTGGCTCAGCTTCCTCCAGACGAGTACTTAAAATAGCTTAAATAACAGGATGCAAGAGGGGAAAGTAACCCACACATTGCCTTTTAAGGATATATGCTCTCAGCAGGACACATTCTAGCAGGAGCACGGATCCCTATTTGCCTTAAGCTAACATTTTAGAGCATTGTTTTACCACCTTGCAGCAGCGAACAAAGTGTTCAAGTAGGCTATGATTTTAGGTACTTAGTGTTTTCGGAGATGTTTATCTTGGCTATTGTGACTGGGAAGAAGGAAAACAAATAATCAGAGCAAGTTTGCAGATTTTGTTCTGCCTGCTTTCTGTATGAAGTGCCACTGCTTGTCCAAGTACGTGCAGGGACATACAGCACATACACCCAGTTCTACAGTCCAGATTCACAGACTCATTGAGATTTGGAGCAAGATGCTCTTCCCCCACTATTGTGCAGGTCATTCAAAGCCTGGATGCTTCTTATTCCCTGATTAATCCCCTTTTTGAGATGCTAGGATGCTTTTTACTACATGAATCACTTCCAACAGTAGAACCTGTTTGAGGACACTGGGAGTTGGACACCTGAGCTATAGCTAACTTTAGTATTAACCTTGAACTGTGGTTTTCCCACCTGTGAGCATCTTATTACAAGCATAGCTAATCTACAGGACTCTCCCACCTTTTGCTGGCTGTCAGAAAAGCTACACACCGGTTGCAAGTGGCACAGGCAGCAAGAAGTGACAGGGCACACACTAACACCCTTGACAGGCCTCAAGTGCTAAGGAATGCCTTTATGCAGGGTCACCAGTCCAGCAACATGCACCAGGGCTGGTCAAACACCTGCAAAGTCCCCTCCGTGCAATGCTCAGCTCCTAGACCAAGAGTCCTCCTCTCGGGAGCCTGCTGCATGCGCCCCCAGAAGCTCCAAGTGAAGGGCAGACACCCAGTTAGCAACTTGTTATATATCCCCAGGCAAAGACACCTCTTCTTAGGCAAAAGGAAGGGGAATGGGAGCAATGAAGACACTCTGGACAGGCAGAGGTCCTCCCACAGCAGTGCTTGTGGGCCACACCATACCTAAAACACACAAAACCCTCCAAGGAAGGTAAGTATTAGCAGATGCCTCCACACCTGGTGGGGAGGCGCAGGGCCCATCACAGGACTCAAGATGATGAGAGTTTTGATGTTTCCTTTATATTTGTATAACTGACCAGGGACAGCTTCCTGAGCAGAGCGAGCTGCTCTCCCAGGATGGTCACTATATGACTTGGATTACTTAGACTGTTGCCAGTGCAAAGGCAGCTACCCTGCTTAGTCAGGTCACACTAAATAACAAAAAGCCACTACAGTCCACCCAAGTTAATCATTTTAAAGCTATTCAAAGACAGGAGAGGCTGCCTACACCTCTATCCTTATTATTACACACATTCAGAACCACTCCAAGTGGGAATCAAGGTTGTCCTAGTCTCCCTCCACTTCATCCGAATTCTGCCTGCTGGAAAAGCCATGGGCAAAGCCAGGCACAGCAGGGAGCTGCCTACAAAGCAATCTGCTTTAAGTACTGATTTGCAGCCCTTCCTGAAAACTGGCTACCTTGAAATTCATTCTTCCACCTGCAGATCAGGAATTCATGGCAAGCTACAGCTAAGAGACCCCCTATCCTACTTAGAGGGTAGTTCAGTTAATAAAGACGTGGGGCAACTATGGATACACACTGTGACCTGCTTTAGCAGGCACCACACCATGCCCATGGAGCAGAGACTGCAGATACCAGCAGAGGTTAAAGATTTATGTCCCACTTGGAAATATTAGTGGAGTCTGCATAAAGATCGTCCCCACCAGCAGGAAATTGGGGTCGACCTTCCACAGTGGCCAAACGCCAGTTCTCCAGCGGTCGCAATGTGCAACAAGGGAGAGCAGCCCGCGCCGATCCGGGCGCTCACGGGACTGATCCAGGTCCGTGCCAGGCGCCGGGTGCGGTTTCCCCAGCGCTGCGCTGAGCTCAGCCCGCGCCGCAGCGATCCCTCCCTCCCGTCCCACCTCCTCCCTTGCATTTTACGTTCCTCCAAACAAACCCATATCAGAAAATCGTTTTCCCCATGATGTCAGTTTTCTGCCCATTTAAGCTTCCTGCACCGAGTGCCAGCATGGGGAATGAGCAGGAAGGTGGAGTTGGAGGCCACAGGGCACGACCCGTGGCCCATGTGCAGCCCTCGGAGCCAGGCTGGCTGTTACGGGGGGAGAACCAGAGGGGAACGGAGCCACCGGAGGGCAATGCAAATAAATGCCAGCAGCCGCCAAGCACTTCCATCGCCACCACAAGTCGCTCCTTAACGGCCAGGTACACAACCGCTAATTAGGCTTGCCTGCAAGCTCGTCAGACGCGGTGCCTCAAACGCACCTGCACAAACCAGAAATGTTTGTGCAGCATCCACCATCTGCCAGGCCCAGCCAAACTGCCAACGCCAACAGAGACGAAGCGGATGCACGCTCGGGGAAAGCTTCCAAGCGGGAATATTTATCCTGCAGGAGCCATCGTGTGCCGGGCCCTGCTGAGACGGCAGGGCCTCTTGACAGGTGGTGAGAAAGCCCTGGGATTGCATGGGAAAGGGCTCCTTGCCAGCCCACCGGTGCCCTGGGGCTGCTGCCAACCTGGAAAGCAACGAGTTCTCCTGTTCCCAAGGAACCAGGGCCATGTCCGAGCCCCGAGAGGTGCTCCCTGGGCTACAGCAGTGCAATGCCCGGGGGGATAGTTCTTCCATCCTTCACATGGAGAGGGAGGAAAGCCCATTGCCGAGCAGCAAGGCATGCACGAGCCCCATGCCCACGTCCTCTTTTTCTTGGTGGTTAAAGGGACAAGTTGGCAGCACCAAGGCTGCTGAGGGGCTCCGGAACAGGGGGAGGAAGATGAGAGCAGCAGGAGACTGTCCATACCCTGCTACCTGCAAGGGCAGGAGAAACCCACAGCACGGAGCAACACAGGGACAAGGAGCCTTCCCTGCTGCTGGCTGGGACAACGGGCAACTTACCGACTTTGGCAAAGGCCTCCTTGAGCTCCTCCAGCTCATCCTTGGAGATCTGGGTGGTGATGGCCATCTCATGAACTTAGGGAGTACCTAAAGAGAGAAGAGGACATTGTGTGAAACCCAGCTGCATCCAAACACACACGATTTCCAACAGCAATATAACAATAACAGAGCACCAATATCGCTGGAGTGCTTGAAGCCGTATTTGTCTTCCTGCTAAGAAAAGAGGTGTGAAACTCAGAAGACCATAAGGAGCACATTTCCCAAGTCAGAAATCCCATTAGTCTTGTTAATATTTAGCTCCATGTGTTTATTTTACGGGCTGCGCTGTTCTGCACGCATTAAGGTACCCGCTACAAGTATGTTTTGTAGAGTCAAAAAAAAAATTCAAAAACACTTATATCTCTAGGGATTTCCCCCAGCTTTGAAGAGATTAGAAGTCCAAAGGTGCCAAAAGCTCTGCCTGCGTGCCCGTGCCCCGGAGCACAGCCGTCTTGGACACGAGGGAAGGATTCTCACCGGTATCCAAAGGAAGCCTTTCTGCAGGAGGTGGTAAACAGCGTGTGGAAAAGCAGTTTGCTTTCCTACTGGAAAACCACTGAACAAACAACCACCGATTTCCCAGAATCGGCCTCGCAGGAAGACACGCGAACAACGGGATAATTTCCCTGCCCACGCTCCCGCGCGGGACGGAATGGGAACACCGGCGTGAACCGGGAGCGCACAGAAACCCCGCTGGGATCCCACCAGCATTTTGACCAGCATGAAGTGCAGAAATCAGTGATCCATAGGACACACAGGATGCTCCCTATGCGGTGACTTTCCACGCAGAAGGTTGTGGACAGCAATAAGTAAGCTCAGGAGCGACAGGATCGTGGCTTTCAAAAGACTGGGTACAACCCTTTGCAGCCTTGATATAACCAGCAGCCTGTACCCACACTGGCCTGTAGCTCAGGGTCTTTGCAAAAGGGCATCTGGGCTCACATCAACTCTACCAGGGTCTTTGCAAAAGGGCATCTGGGCAGGCTCACATCAACTCTAAATGGGAATTCACATCCCAAGATCTTTCGCCTTTCAGTTAATTAGCTACAGTTGCTAAAACTGGGAAATTAGAGGTTTCCTCCTCTGCTTATGAGAATGGACTTTGTAAGCAAAGGGTACTCCTTTGTAAGCAAAGCGCTGAATTCTGCCTTCCAGACTGCTGAATTCAGGCTTCAGGACCATCACAAGGCAGGATCCCAAACAGCCCACTCGCCGCTTGAAATGACAACCGTGGCTCATCCTCCTCTGTGTCAGCGAGCCTCCCTCACCTAAAGCTCCGAGCCATCTTCACAAGCACTTGCTATGATCACAACAAGTCTGTGGCGGAATATGTTAGTTTTCTATAATACATGATTTGTTTTGACCAGCACAAAGCTGTTTGAGAAGGCGGCGGATGGACAGAGAGGTTGTGGAGTCTCCTTCTCTGGAGATCTTCAAACCCGCTTGGACGCAGCCCTGTGCCACGTGCTCTAGGTGACCCTGCGTGTGCAGGGGTTGGACTGGATGATCCCTAGAGGTCCCTTCCAACCTTCAGCATTCTGTGATTCTATGATTCTATGACAGACATAGTGCTCTGGGACAGCAGCACAGGCAACAAGAAGTTGCATCACAGGGCGCTGCAGGAAACTGGAGCAGACCTTGCTCCCGAGCAATGCAAGAAATGTCACCGTGCAGCGCACTGCAAGACGCAGGGACGTCACGTGCAACAGGAGGCTGGGGCCACAACCGGCAGAAACACTCAGATAACAAGAGCAGAGGCACTGGCTGCACGACCCGCCAGGCAGGAGAGCTAAGAGATCTCCAGCAAGGGGCAAAGAGGGATGCTCAGATCATCCCACCTGGCACAAGGACGAATCGCCTGGCTCTAACAAGCAGAAAACGGTTCCTCTACAGGCTACTCTCAGGCAAGGAAATTCAGTCAATCTCCCTTCACAAATACTTTTTTCCTAATCCCCACTCCTACTGCTTCGCTTTCAAACCCTTAGGACTTCCCTTAAAGAGGAGTTTCCAAGAATGTAATTACCTAACCAATTCACTGAGATTTAAGTCGCTGGTACCCGTCTCTAGCATCTTTAACCCCATAAGGGGCAGCCAAGACCGCTATAAGCCGAGAGCTTTAAAGAAAGCTGCTGTTCAAGTGCTTTCATAGCACAAAATACACTGTCGCCCCTATGCTTGTCAGCTCAGGTGGAAAGTCTATAAAACAGACCGGGATTCCTCCAGAGAAGCAACCTCAGTGACTCTGGAATGAGCTGGGACAGCATCTTCGAGTCCATGCTGCAAAAGTTCCGCTTCTCCCTGAGGGCAAGAATCTTCCAATATCAGATTTTTCAATATGAACTGCCTCCCCAGACACAGGCTGCATCATGTTTGCATGTAAAAAAAGATCCCCTGAACACGGTGCAATGCTGGATTGGGGGGGATTATTTGCTCCCTCCTGCAGTAGCGGGAGGTCACGCGACGCTGGCGCCGTCCCCGTGTTTTAACAGCTGTGAAGCAGCCGGGGATGAGCAATAAGCACCAACAAACCCCTCTCAGCGCCTGCGTCCTCAGGGGTTTCAAAAGCTTCTAGGAACAAGTGAACTGCAGGAGCAAAAAACACACACACGAATCTCCCCAAACAAACTGCAAAATGCAGCACTCGAGCATTTGCAAGTCACCCTGAAAGCTGGCAGATTCATCCCATTTTGAAAACACACGGCAACCAAGTATTTCCCAACAGGGAGTCGAGCACTTCCAACAGAAACAGGGCTGGAATTTGCTGCCGGTCCAGGCGCTCCGTCGCTCTCGGACCCCTCCCAGTCCAATATCGCAACGACTGACTGATTAACAGCAGCCGTGCATTAGACAAACAGACACATGTCAAATTGTGAACACAACATGTATTAAAATACCTTTTCTCATCATATATATATATAAAAATAAATATAAATAAAAAGAATGATAGGGCTAGTCAAGAAACTGTGACTCACTCAGGACGTATTTCTCTTTTTGGAGGAACTTGTGGTTTCGTTGCCTTTTCATGACAAGGGCTCCAGACGTGAGAGGGCAAGTCAGTCAACATGAGGAAATTAAAAGCACTTTAAAATCCGCATGTCTTTGCTAACCCAGCAAAGAGCCGCCTCCCTTGCGGAGCAGCAGGGATCTGAGCTCACCCTGTGCCCGCGGGAACACCGTGGCCTGCTGCACGTGCCTCAGCAACGCCTGATTTGGGGGAGAATCCCTGTAATTTGTCCCAAATCGGATGCACCTAGGACACCTGAGAGCTCAGCCCACAGGGAGCACCGTGCTTGGAAGCATTTGAAGACAGGAGACACGGACTGATGGACACACCACCCATTCCAGTCCTCCTCTTCCAGCCCAATTTTGGTCCAAGAGTGAGTCTTCACGTGCCTCAGCAACGCCTGATTTGGGGGAGAATCCCTGCAATTTGTCCCAAATCGGATGCACCTAGGACACCTGAGAGCTCAGCCCATTCTCCTGCCAGCTCCGTGCTGGGAGCACCGTGCTTGGAAGCATTTGCAGACAGGAGACACGGACTGACAGACACACCACCCATTCGAGTCCTCCCGCTCCAGCCCAATTTTGGTCCAAGCGTGACCAGGATAGGCACTAGATGCTGCTTTGGGAGATGGGGAAGTTCAGGGATTGATGGCCACAAAACTGTTTTTTTGCAAACCTATCAAGCACCTCCTTTAAGCTGTCAAAACCACCACTACTGAGCATTCCTGGTATCCATGCGAATCCCTCATGTTCCCTGCTCCACATTCTCACTTGGGAGCAGCCCGAGAGCTTTTGCTGCTGCAGTTACACAGCTCCAAGCCACGGCTGGGGAAAAAACCTGTCAAATTCATTAGAGGCAGGGACGTGGCCTGGTGTTAGTCACTGCACTTGGCCGGTCAGCGGCTCTCTCCGGATTTGGAGACATGCCTCCATGGAATATCCACCTTCCTGCAGCAGGTTGAGACTGAAAACCACAGTTCTGCTCATTAGAGGACCCAGAAACAAGCTGCAACCCTGCTGCAAAGCGCCAGGATGCAGCAGGACCAGATAAAATAGCCAAGACACCCACAAAATCACCCCCAAAAGCCTGTTGGCCAAATCGTTCTCCTAAACGCTGCACTTGGGCAAATGCATCTTTTAGCAAAGGGAGCACTCCAGCATTTGCACACATTTAAGACCATAACCTGCTAGATCAGTTTAACTTGCTTCTGAATTTCAACAGTTTGCTCCCATCGGCGCCTGGAGGATGGCAATATTCCCCATGAAGCAACACTTGGATAATAAAGCAGGTGATGCCGTGAATATCCTTTTGGAGAGGAAGAGCTGAATACTCAATCTCCCCTAAACCTGCATAAGCTAATAATATTCCTAAGAGAATTCTAACCAAAGAGCAAGAAAATAGAGAAAATGGGGTGGTCTCATGTAAGCTGGTGGACTAAGACTTAGAAGGCTTGATTTGAATTCCTGGCTCTGGCACAAACAGGAAAAGAAAAGCGGGGGGAAAAAAAGAAATCGTGCTCGCCTCTCAGGAAATTCTTATTCTCATAGTAATTCTTATTCTTGTGTAGTCCACCAAATAAAGCCTTATTTAAATTCCTGGCTCTGGAACAGAAAGAAAGCCATGCTCGCCTCTCAGGAAATTCTTACTCTCATAGTAATTCTTATTCTCTTGAAGACCCCCCGAAGTAGAGGATTAACCTTCTGCTTGCTCCATTTCTCTACCAAGGGAAACTTGAAAGGAGCCACCATGCCCATTTCCATAGGCATTTCCATAGGCATTTCCATAGGCATTTCCATAGGCATGCTTGAAGCACGCAAGCCTCAGTTTCCTAAAACGCTGCCCAAGGAAAGCCCAGCTCTTCAGGATGCTGAGAGGGGACCTTGGCCTATACTCTGGCCTCTTGCAGTTGGAAAAAGTTTGAAGTCAAGGCCAGGTTCAAACCCACCTCAGCCATGGGGGATGTTGCAGCTCGAGGACCTTCCTCCCGGGAGCTTCACAGCAGCAGCTACAGCCTCCATTCCCATTGCTTCGTAGGTGAAATCAT